TAAAAAGACAACTAATGAGGTAGAAAGAGAAGTGAGGATGGAAATTTATTGTTGATAAAAAGACTGAACAGGGAGGAATGGTTTTGTACCTGTGGTTTAAAGGAAGGAAAATGTGAGGCAAAAACAAAGTCCAAGTGTGTCACCGAAGGTCTGTGTAAGTCAAGAGAAGGTTTGTAAAAGGGATTTAGAAAGAATATTGTTACGTGGTTAGAATGGCTTTAAATAAAAAGACAATTCCTGATGGAAAAAATGCTCAATCTCTCTTCTGCCTGCTTCAAAGCTGCAATGACTAAGTTGCTGTCTCAGAAAAAAGGAAAAGAGCTCTCAGCATCTTTTCCTGCATCCCTTTTCCTGTGATTACTAGGAAAGTCCAGGATACAGTGGGAGGCTGTGTGAACTTTGACCTATGAGGAGGTGAATGCTAAAGGGTGGCATCCAGGGGCAAGTGAGCACCAGGCTCAGAATGGAAAAGGTGGGTGGTGGTGACAGGCACATGCTTGTTTAGTAAGGGCAAGTTGTGCTGTCTCCGGTTCCTGATATCTACCTTGTGGTTTCAGAGGAAAATATGGGGCAGGAAGCTCCAGCCACGTGATATATGGTATATGGAATCACAATGGGGAATTCCTTCACAGTGTGTGGGAGGGACACCAGGCCAGCGTGATGAGGTTCAGCTGATGGAATGGGGGACGTCCTTCTTCAACAGGCCCTCTACCCCTCTTTTATTTTTTTTCTATAGAAAACCACAGAAGATAGTGCTTTAATTCCTATGAATTCAACCCTAGCATGCTTGTTGAAAAATTTGAAAGCCCTTAGATTCAATAGGCTTCAAAAACAGAAACATACATTCTTTTGCAACACACCATGGCCCCAATACCAAGTGCTAGATGGAAAAACCTGGCCCATGAATTGAAGTCATAACTACACAGAGACCTCTTTTGTACAGAGAAGTGGAAGACGTAAAATGTTCCCTATGATAAATAAAAGTTTAGGCTTTTACTTATCTGAGGATCAACCCCAATACTGTGAATTTTGTATGGAAAAACATCAAGTCAAAGGGACAGGAAAAGGTCAGAATGTGTCTTTGACTCCAGAAAAACCTCTAGCTTTAGGAAAGAAATCAGTTAAAGATGACAAGGGCTGTGGCTGTTGCTTCAGCCCAAAGGACCCTCAAATATATGGTTCAGTCTCTCCTCTTTAACTCTTCTGAACTCTAACTTGCCTCCGATATGTCCTCTGCAGGAAGTACCAGGACCCACAGGACAGTCAGTGAGGGTCCATGCTCTATTCTCAATGGGGGATCTCAAAACTCCTAAAACTCCAGAAGTTGCCACTGGGACTCCAGGCAGACACAGCTCAGCTGCTGGTGGTAGCCTCCACTGTCTACAATAACCAAGATTTGGAAGTAACTCCAAGGGACTGCCAAAAGTCCAAATTATTAAGGGAAGCTGTTGCCGCAGTGGCTCCCCTGACCACTCCGAAGGGATCTGAGAATGGTGCCAGAACCTCCTGCTGGTGTGGAAAACCTGGACACTGTCAGAGGGAATGTCAGGCTATCCTCAGAGAGCTAAGAGGGGGGCAGGGACAGTCATGAAGCCCAGGAATCCCTGTCCCAACTATAGAAACCATAGGGAGTTGCTGAGAAGACCAAACCCTGATGGCCATGGTCATAGATGATCAAGCCTAAAGGTGCCCAGATTCAACATAGGCTCCTGCTTATACCATCCAGATTACACATGAAAAACCTTGGATGCGGTCAGTAAGCAAATACATTTTTTGATTGACATGAAGCCACCTATTCATAAAAACCTTTGGTGGGCCTCTGTCATCCTCTGGTGTGGTTGTAGGTATTGATGGATGCCCCACCAAAAGCTATAATACTCTTGCTTTATTATGTAGCTTGGAAGGAATATTAGTCACTCACCATTTTCTTCCTATCCCTAAAGTTCTAATTTATTAGGAAGAGACTTTTTTAGTCAAACTGGGTCTCCAATTACAACCTTCACACCATTATGTTGCTATATAACCCTTGAGATAATTGTAATAGGGAACAAAAATTACCTGCAGAAAAAAAAATTACCTACAGGCCTAGAACACATAGACTTGTGGGCTGGACTGACAAGAAACAAGGGAAGGCTATGAGGGTTCTTCTAATAAAGATGACCTTCAAACCAGAAATTTCCTTTCCCCATAAGAGACAATATCCCTTGTCCCTAAAAGTATGACAAGGAATTATCTCAATAATACAATTGCTGGAGGTTGGGATGTTGGTAGAATGTTCATCTCCTTATAATACTCTTACCCTGGAAGAAACCCAATTAGAAATGTAGGGTTGTCCAAGACTTAAGAAACATTAATGAGACAATAATTCCCTTCCATTGGGTAGTCCCAAATCCATATACAATTATTATCCAGATTCCACCAGCAACAGTGTCTTTTTCAGTTGTACAAACTAGTCAATCCATTAAATTCGGGCAGTAGTCCTTATATTCTCTAGCAAATGTTGTCCTTGGTCACCACCTAGCTTTGGATTCCATTCTAATAGAAAGGGAGGTGTCTGTGCAATTAAAGTTGCCACTTATTGCATGTATATAAATTCTTCAGGAGAAATTGAGATGAGAACTAAGATAACCTTAGATAAAGCTACCTAAGTAAAAATTTATTCCCTACCTCTGTAACAATTTGAGACCAAATAAAGGACTACCTTTCTTCCCTGTCATGGTTACTTCCTTTTGTGGGACCATTACTTTTAATAATTCTTGTCTTAATGTCGTCTTTGTAACCTGGTTAAGTTTGTGTCTTCTGGACTCCAGCAGTTCCATACGGAGCTTATGTTAGCCTGAGGATTCCATCCTATTCCTGGGTAAGAACCCATTGGACTTGTCCCTCCAATGCCCTTTGAGCCACTGGACCTCACTTTATGAACCTTTCATCTTTGACCAAACTTCCTATAGAGACCATAGAGCTTGAGGAATCCTGCACCCTTGTTCCACTTGAAGCAGCTACAGACGATGGACGTTTGCCCTTAATCTCCCCAAACTTTCAGGCTCCATGTCTCTTGGGGGAATATTTGGTTTGGTTTGGCCAAGTGTAAAGAGGTGGCAAAGAAGGGGTAAAGGGTGGAAAGCAGGAACCAATTTGTAGCTAGGAACCTAACTGTGGATAGGAACTGTTCCCTGATGGGAACATGCACAGTAGATTTCTTAGTGACCTTTAACTGATGTAGCATAGCATTGGAGAAGCAAAAGCGAAGGATTCTGGAGAGAACTCACACATAGAAAGGAAAACTGGCATATAACCAACCTTTAATGTAACCTGTTTTGTAACTCTAACCTGTCAATCACCCCCAAAGGCAGGAAATGATAACCAATCCTGTCAGAAGAAAGGCAGAATCAACTAATGAGCACATAAAAGGCAGTGTGTGCTCAGACTTCAGGGTCTTTCTCCACTCTCTGGAACATATTTTCACTTCGTGTCACTTTGTGAAGCTTCCTTCTTTACTTCCACTTCCTTTTCCTATAATAATCTTTCCTTTTCCTGTAATAATCTGTTTGTGTTGGATTCTCAGTATCTGTGATCACTCCATCATTGGCTTGATTTTTGTACCAGCACTCATTCTTTACACTGGAAACATCCAGACAGACCTAACAATATAAATGGAATACTATCTCTTGAGCTTTTTTCACTTAGCAGAAGGTCTTTGAAATCCATTGTTGCATATTTCAATAGTTTGCTTCTTTTATTGCTGAGTAATACTCCATGGTATGGAGATAAGCACAATTTGCTAAAATATTCTAAGATACTTTGTTTGCTTCCAGGTTTTGACTTGTATATCCAAAGCTGCAATGAACAATCACAAACAGTTTTGTTTTTTGTTGTTGTTGTTGCTGAGAGGAAGAAAAGACAAACCACACACTGGGAGAAAATATTTGCAAACTACAAGTATCTCACAAAGCACTCATTTAGAATACATAAAGAACTCTGAAACTCACCAGTAACAGCAAAGCAAGCAATCCAACTAGAAAACGAGCAAAAGCCCTGAAGAGACATTTCCCTCAGAGGATGCATGGGTAGCAACATCACCGGCCATTAAAAAAATGGAAATTAAGATCGCAATGAGATATCACCACATATGAGAATCGCTTAAATGAAAAATACAATACTAAACACTGATAAGGATGCCCAGAACTCAAGTTTCACACATTGCTTGTGGAAATGTACAGACCCCCTGAAAGGTAGCAGTTTCGTTTTTTGGTTTTGTTTTTGTTTTTTTCGAAGTCTATAGACTGACACAAGTTTAGCCGTTTCTTAAAATAATAAACATATATTTACCATATGACAAGCAATCTCACGCGTGGGCATTTATCTAGATTTTTGACCTTCCAATCATTGACTTTTAATCCAATTATAGTAAAATACAATTACTATAAATTGTAATTTAAAATTGTTTTTTAAATTTGCCTCACATGGCTTAGAATACAAATAGTTCTTTGTTAGCCATTAATAATTTTAACACATATTTAATTGTCCTGGTTAAGTAAGAGTCAAATATAATACATTGTGAAATATTCTAGAATCTTCTCTAGTTTTTTTTTTTTAATTTTTCCCTTGACTCTTAGAATTGTTAAACTGGACTATTGGGAATATTGATTGTCTTTTGTATCAGTAGATATTTACATGGAATGGAAACTTTGGAATCTTCTGTAACCATTTTTATTGATGCAATCTAAAATGACACTACAAACTTTACAAGATTTACCCAGAACAAGAAGCAAATATGTCCTGTGCATCAATTTCATTATAAATATCCACTTTTATCAAGGCCATAATGGCTTTTTAAAATATCAGATAAATTTGGGGACATTTTAAAAATTCCTTTCCGAATGATTTCTGATTTGGTGTGTCAAAATAAGTCCCAGGTCTAGACATGCTTTTTTGTGGAGCATGAGAAGGATAAATGTTTTATGAGCAAATGCAGATAAAATAATGAACTTTTTCTATCACTGTCTTTATAGTCACTTTTAAAACAGTATCAAAAGTTAAAAACTTGAGAATCTATTTTCCAATTCTTTACTTATAATTCAAAATGTAAATGTTATTGAATTAAGTTGCATATTAGATACAACTTTTGAGATACACCCAACAGAAAAGTTTTTTTAAAAACATTTTCTGTACATACATTTTCTATGTTGCTTCCACATTACAGAAAGGGATGGACGAGACGTAGGCATGAATGCCAAAGAAGGAAAATATTACAGTCACCGGGAAATAATGTGACAATAAATCCTTGGTCTTTGATTTAAAGAAAAACAGACTATGGTCACAATTCTATCTTAAAAATTACAGAAGCAGTTAGTGTCATGTTTTCTTATTCTTTTTATAGTATTAAATAGCATTGTAGTTAATTGTAGATGTAATTACTCTCATATTTTCATTTGCTTATCAAATAGACTTCAGAAAAATAAGAATTTGTGCTAAGTTATTTGCTGAAGTCAATTGAAAATTAAATAGCAAAATAAGTTGTTAGGAATAAGGTTTTTTAAACATAATAATATCAAAACAATATACAGATTTTAACCAATACCCTAAGTGGGATTCCTTAGCATTTTCTGATTGGGGTAATGAAGGGGTAATCAATGTTATAGTTTAAATATAGCTTGAAAGTAATTTTGACAATGTTATTCATGAATGATATTCACTGATTTCATAAGCAAATTTCATTGTATAAATCAAGCACAATCAAGCATTCCTGATTCATTAAGAATCACAGACATTATTATTATGACATACCAATCAGAAGATACACAAGCCCACAGAATTCTTTAGTATTCTACAGGCCAGCCAAAACATGACCTTCTTCACCAGCTTCTTTTACAATTTATGAATCATACTTTTGAATGCCAGTAAATCTTAATCCTAGTAGATCATATTAGATACTCTGGGTATTAAAGTGATAAAACTTGACTCTTCCTAAATTATCTCATTATAGGCACTTGTCTATAGTGAAAGTCATAAACAGCTATTTCTTACATGTATTAAAAATGGCTGATTCTTGTTTATTTCTTGGTTTATCTGTTTATTATTCCAGCTTGCTGCAGATGTCACTGCTGTGTCTAGGGTGGACCATCCATAAATCACTTAGTTCTTCCCACAGCCTAAGTGTGATATCTGCCTGGCGTCCTGATGAAATCATAAATAGCACCATCTTTTGTTTTCAGTGTTTAGATGGTGAATTTTATCATCACTCTAAATTAGAAAAAATTAAAAACATAAGAAAAAAAAGAGCCCTAGAACAAATGTGTATTGACTCCCCAGGACCACTGCAGAAGTGCCAACACATACGTCCCATAAAGCTTGAGAATAGGATAATAGAACTCATGATACAACTGACCTGCTAAAGGAATTAATTTACATAAAAAGTATATTTCATAGATAATAGCCTCACTTTTTAAGCAGCATGTAATTAACAGGCCAAAGCTGTTCAACATGGTGATTAAGCCTCTGCTCTGGAGCCAGACTCCTTGCATTGCAATCCCAGCTCTGAACACTTACAGGCAAGGTGACTCTGGGCAGTTTACTTCATCTCTCTAAGCTTGAGTTTCCTCATCTATAAAACAGTAGATGATACCTCTTTTAGTATGGGAGGATGTGGGGTTTGAATGAGATAAAACATTTCAAAGCATTTGCACAGTGCCCATCACATGTTATGCACTCAAGAAATACCTGTCATTGTTATTTAATAATATGACATATCCTTAATGAAAAGCTCCATTGGTAAACAGTACAACAGTGCCCTTCTAGATACAGTACAGATATATTCCTAATATCATACAAAACAAGTGCACATAATTCCCGTTTCTTCCCTCAACTCTAGGATCAGTTTATGGTTAATTAATCAAAATCAAAGCAGATACATATATCTTAAGATTCTGAATAAGTAAGTCCTCTATTTTCTATTCATTCAATAAGTATTTATTCAGAGCATGGAACAAGTAGGTCATTGTGACTTTTAATTAGTATGGGACTACATACTTGAACTTATTCCCATCTAAAGATGAACGATGGCAATTCTGATTCTTTGCATGGACTTATTTATTTAGAGTAGATTTATTTTTCTATTGAGAAGTACAGTGGATATTCAGTAAATCATTTTGCATAGACCTACTTAAATGCCTCAAAGATGAAGACCTGGGGAATAAGTAAGCAGAAATGACATTTTAAAAAAAATGAATTTAGCAAAAGATAATGCTTCCAGTGATCAAAACAAATCAATAAAACTTTTTAAAAAATTGTTTCTTTCAATTTTGAATTAGGTTCTGCGATATTCTAAAGTCTAATGAGGTGCTGCCAGGATGAAGTAGAATAAGGAGGTTAACGGAAGGGGCACACGTACCAGCTCTCTACTGTACCATTCAAAGGAGTACAATTTTTAAAATTCCTTATGTCTAAATTAATGTGCTATCTTTTTGAGATACAGGATAAAAATAGGGTTTACATTTGTACTTTGTCCATGAAACATGAAGAACAAACAGTTGAAAGCAACAGCCTCTATATAATAGTTTAGAAATTAGAACTCCCTTTGCTCACAAGACATTAATACATTATTTAAGAAAAATCTGATGGGAACTTTGTTCTGTGTTTTTCAAAGTAATATCAGCAAACATTGAAGTTATACAAACTGTTTTCTTCTGTTGAAATATTCTTTTCAATTCTGATTTTCACATTTTACATTGCTTTTCTCAAATTAAGTTCAAATTTATGAAATTGAATTTGTATTTTTACTTTCATCCATTCAACACACATCTCAAGACATCTCTACTACACCCTCTCTGTGGTAGGTACAGGGCACAGATATAGAAGGCAGGATACGGGAGAGCCCAACAAATGTATAATACACAGTAATAAACACAGAGAAATATGGAGTTATTTGAGCACAAAAAATGGTATGTGATCCACTGAGTATGAGGGCTCTTCAGGAAACATCAGATGAAAGCCTTAAAAGCTGACCTCCAGTTAGTCCAGCAGGAAGAAGTGTGGGAAGAAAATTCTGGGCCAAATCTCTATGTGCCATGGCTGGTTTAAGATCCTAAAGTGAGATTAGTGATTTGGAGAATTCCAGTACGCATCCTTCTGGAAATGGCAAAGGTGACCCTGCAGAAATCTAACTTGTCACGTTAAGCTGCACAGTGAGATCTGTGTTTTAGAAAGAGGACTTCGAAAGCCATGCAAAAGATGGACTGATAGAAGAGACTGAAGTAGGACAATCAAGGGATTAACTGTTACAGCTGCCGAGGGCAGAGCTGCGAGGGCAGGGCGGCAGAGGCAGTGAAGTGATTCATGAACTCTTCAGAAGGTCATAGGAACAAGATCCCTAACCAGTAAGTATTAGTTAATACAAGAGAAGAAAGGATCACAATGAGTTCTAGATTTGGGCCAAATAACTAGATGCTGGGGAAAAAGAAAAAGACGGCAAAAGAAGATTTATACTTTAGCATAAACTGAATGTGAAAGTATCTGGGAATTTTATGACATCATTAAGTCTGCTCATTATGCTGAAAAACCCTGTTAGCTGGAAAGATTAAGAGAATTTCCCAAGGTGCCTAATATATAAACTTGGAGTAATTTTCCTGCTTCAGCTTTTCTGTTCCTCAGAATTTGTCGTCAATTTATAATTGGTCATTATTAGTTAATCCACTTATCATCTTCGTGAGGTTAGTTAATGGAAGCAGTCCATTTTTAATTTAACAGTGGTAATTTTCCAGAAATCCTCCAGAGAGACTCTGAAAAGCCAAAACCAACTTTAATTTTGGAGGACTTTTTCCTGTTTAAAGTTACTGAAATAAATTGTCTTTGCTAGAAAAAGTAAATAGCAACAATTGCCACTTAAAAATTCAATTTGCTGCATAAGTATTTCAGGCTATTTTACCTTTGGGCAGTAATTTTTCTTACGTGAAAACTATTTTAGCCTAAATAGTCAGTGGTGGCAAGATGGAAGGATGCATACCGCAAACGAGCTGCTTTTTTAGGGAGTATTTTCCACATACTCCATTACAAACATACTGCTTTGCTGTATTGACTTAGTCAAATAGCAGGTTGGCTAATGTTTCACTGAATTCAAATTATTTAGATTAATTAAGCTAACTGACTGGTCACCTGCTATCATATAGCTATCACCCAAGATAATGTTGTCAAAATAATAATGAATTAAACTGAAATAAACGTATAGCTCTGAGAGACAATAAAATGAAGTCAGGTGTTTCTTAAGGGTATATTCTAGTTCAATAAAGTTGAGTGTGCAGTTAATATGCTTTACAACAAAATGCTGCATTTTGTGACAGCAATAAAATAGTGAGCAGTTTCCAAGTCACTACCTTACATTATTTGTACTAGTGATATTGATAAACACTAAAATGTAATATGATTTTCACTACCGTAATGTTACCTGAATTAGCCCATACATGGTATAAATTTCCATAAAATGTTTCTTTTGAAATCACTGAATTCCTCTTCTTCATGTTTTCATGCCTAGCCACCAAGAATCGGGGGTTCCTCGCCACCATCTCGAGCTCTTCCCTCTTTGCTTCTGATTGTTTTAACTGTTGCCCCACAAGCAACACTGGACCCACCAGCACCAAGGACACCTATCAGTTTCATATCGTGGCCTTTGATCTCATCTAAGATCCTGTAGCATCAATTTCATTACATTCAAAGCCACCAGTAATTTTTTGCATCTATTCAGATATTATTTCATTTTATTTTAGTGAGTTTATAAGATATTTCAGTTATATGTGCAATGCAAACTAAGTATCTCATTTTTGAAGGTAAGTGTGAGGCAGTCAAAACAAACAGAAATTTCTTTAGCACTTCTAGATTTTAGTCAAAGCAATCATTATTGTAAATCACTACTAATACGTTTTTCCAAATAGCCATGACTATCAGGAAAACAGGTATCAAATAAAAAGATACCAGAAAACCGTGAACCACAGAAGCCTCACTGCAGTATGGTTGCATCAGGACGATGTGGGCCTGGACTCTCAAACATCAATACCAAGTACCTTAAGAAGTCCAAAACCCACAGATAAAAAACAACGCTATGCTTTCAGAAGCACTTTAGTCTGGTGTGGGAAAGCAGTGGTTATAAGTGGATTAAACACTGGACATTTTGCTTATCTAGTGACAGAGCTTTGGGGCAAGCATATGGTTTTATTTTCTTGCCTTATGCAAACAATTCTGAATAAGAAGTTTGTTTTGCTGTGGAGACTGTAGAGAAACCATCACAAGCAGAGGCAGAAAGCATTTATTCCCTACTGAAGATATACTTTTTTCAATATCACAGAAGAATTCACCTTACGTGAAAATTGTTACAAATACTTCTGTACACAGAAAGCATGATTGGAGAAAAACTTTTTAAGACAAATGGAAAGAGCATTCTCTGTGATGAATTCTTTGGTTATAAACAGGTCTTGAGTGACGTTGGTCCTCTGAACTATTAAGTGATTTTGCTGGTATATATTTTCTGTGTTCCTTGAAGACCATAATAAAAGTAATTACCCTGGGTTATAGTTTATAGAGCATATTTACTACAATTTACCCTGCATTAATATCAAACAATGAGAGAATAAAAATATATCTTTAGATCTGAGATAGCATATATTATTTACGAAACTACTGCTGAGCATGATGCAAAGTTTTCATCCTTTTAAAAATAAAAACTCAGATGCCCTTAATAAGAAAGATAAACAAAGCTGAAATACAAATTCTTTGGACTTCTTCCCGTGGTCCTTGACTTGTGGCTTTGCATTCACTGGCCCGCAGGTTCCTGAGTTAATTAAAGCATAATGAAATATCATTAGTATTCCTGGATATTCTATAATTACTACTCAAGCAAAGCAAAATGGCTGGGAAGTAAGGGAGCTAACCTACTGGCCAAAACAAAGAGCTCCTACTGTAATACCGATAAACTAGGAAACTTAATTTAGTCAGTACAGGAAATTAGCTGATGTGGATTAGTTCATAATACCAACTATACAGGAAGATATGGGAATGAAATGACAGGAGGATCAAGAAACCTTTAGAGGAAAATAAAGCTACATGAAAAATTACAAAAAGAGCTGGTCCGTGGTGATAAAAGAAAAAATACGTGTAGAGAGACAGTGCAATAGACTTATTTTCGATTGCCAGCTCCGTGTTCTCTGGTAGAAAGGATAACACTTATCTTTACATAACTACACAAGCACATAGTAAGTGATTAGGTCGTTTATGACACTACAAGAAAAAAAGTAGCTGGATTAACAAACTGTGCATATTGAAGTTGACCGTTTTCTTTAGAACATCATTCAGAACTTACAGTTTTTCTGAGCCTTGGAGCATTATTTTCTACACCATTAGTATCATCTGATTTCCTGGATTGAAAACAAAAAGGGAAAAACCACTAGAGTTTACATTGCATCACATAAAGCCAGTATACTATTTCTATCATGGCCAGTAGGTTAAAATATCAGATGTCAATAAGGACTGAATTCAGTCTTCCTAAAAGTGTTTTACTCTAAGTACCTGGGCCATTATGAAAGTTTTGAGATACCCAAAAATCCAGAAATGTAAAATCTGTGTGGACGGAAACAGATGAAGCCCCCCTAGCAACACAGATAAGCCCAGCAAGTTGAAATTGGCATCAATGAATCAGAAAGGACCCTGTGAACTGTGTTTCTTGGAAATAAAATAATGGACCGGCACACATACAGTCTTGTCTCAAAACTTTCATAGTGGCCTACATATTGATTTTATTTTTATTCCATTCCTTGAAAAGGAGCCGTTGCCACAGATATTAAGGTGACAAAGGCTTATTTATTTTATACACAGGGAAAATTGGATGAGTGGTAGACTGTGCCTATTACCACAACTATATGTTGCTTTGAAACATGCAAGGGGATAGTCAAATAGGAGCTCAGCCAACACGTGTGATTTTGGTTCTGTAAATTGATAAGTTTATTACATTGAATTAGAGGTTAACCATGGTTCTTTATCCACCCAATCAATGTTCATTAGAGCAAGATTATCTATATAGACCTCAGATTCTTGGAAATGACTAAAACTAGCAACGACTATACATAATGAATGTCCTGCCAGTGTCTTAGGGGCACATTCAGGCTCTTTAAGCCATTACCACTAGATAATAAATTGAACCACCCCATCAATTATGTCAAAATTGGGTTGGGAGGGTGTGGATCCTTATAGGTAGGATTATGTAGATCAAATAATTGAATAGATCCTCACTGAACTCCCTTGAAGTGACCAACTTGTTTTGATGTTATATGTTTACTGCTATTTTTTAATTCAATTTCAACAAGAAACTCACATGAATCATATATATTCATATATAAACTTATATATAAATATTCCTTATAGTTTAATATACAAAATATTTTTTACCAAAAACAATTGATCTCCTAACTAAAACTTTTTTTTTTAAGACGCAATCTTATTATGTTGTGCTCAGTAGAGTGCTGTGAAATCGCTGTGAAACCTTCAACTCTTAGGCTTAAGGGATTCTCTTGCCTCAGCCTCCCAAGTAGCTAGGACTATAGGAACCCACCAGCCCCAGTGCATGTAGCTGGTGCCCTAACCACTGAGCTATGGATGCCAAGCCCTAACTAAAAATTCTAAAAGGGGCATTCATACAGGGTTGCCTTGATTGGGTTCAAGTACCCTTGGTTTATTTATTTATTTATTTATTTGAGACAGAGTTTCATTTTGTTGCCATAGGTAGAGTGCTGTGTTGTCACAGCTCACAGCAGTCTCAAACTCTTGGGCTCAAGTGATTCTCTTGCTTCTGTACCCTGAGTAGCTGGGACTACAGGTACTTGCTACATCTGTCTATGTTTAGAGATGGGGTCTTGCTCCTGCTCAGGCCGGTCTTGAACTCCTGAGCTCAGGCAATCCACTTGCCTTGGCCTCCCAGAGTGCTAGGATTACAGGTGTGAGCCACTCTGCCCAGCCTTCCCTTGGTATTTTTAATAAATCTAAAAATATTGAAACAACCTACCAATGAAAAAAATTAAACACTTTCAGTGATCTCTGTGGCTTAATAAAGGATGGGGAAAATGATGTACATTATCCTAATTTTCAAACAAAAGAAGGAAAGTTCATTTTTATACTACAGATTGAAAAGGTTTGCCATTGCTCCTAATGAACAATGCAAAAAAAATTAAAGAATATTGTAGGCCAAATAAGTGAAAATTAAATTATTCAAAGTGACCATGCACTCCACATGGTGTTGGCACCAGCCTTTCAGAGAGTGTCTTCAACCAACCAGATGCAACCTCCAATTGTGAGCTCGGAGGAAGGTTAGAGACACACTAGGGAGGCTGAGCTGGAAGAAGGCAAGAATGTAGGCAAGGTTCTTACTGTCCTCAAATATGTAAATGGCTTCCACATTTTTGGTATGATTCTAAATGTTCTAGGGGACCACTACAGTGGAATCGGAAAGATTAAAAGCACAAATCAACACAAGTATGATGTCCACATACTCCAGGAAGAGAATGGACTGCCTTGGGTGCCTATGATAGAAGACAACCCTGCTTTTCCCCAACTGAGGTTATGGGATTCCTGATGTAATTTTTTGTGCTCATAATTTGGAAGCTCATGTCTTACTGGTGAACTGTTATATGTGAACTCAGTAAACACGATGATGTGAATAATGTCCACAGATATGTGAATGACAACTGTCTGCCCCTCTCCTGCCATCCATGGCTGTAGGACTCACACCTCAGATTGCCTATTGGCTGGTAAGGACAAACTCCAAGTGTGCTAGTAACAGGAGGTCAGGCCTCCCATTTCTTCAGTTTCTTTCAGCAACTTTAATCTGGCCTCATTTGCTTGGTCTCCAGCCCTTAGCTATGTTGCTGAGACTTTAATCTCAGTCTTAGGCCCTTCCGGTCACCAGTCTCTATGGGAACTCCTGCCTTCCCCAAAACAAATGACATCCCTTGTACTTTTATTCTCAGCTTTTCTCACGCTCAACTCTAAACACAGGGGATTGTAAGAGGACTTAGGCACATTAAATGTTCTCTCACAAATAACGACTAACCAAATTCTAGGCCAGTGATTTTCAACATGATGGAGAATCAGAACAACTAATAGATGTTTTCAAGAAATACAGATGGCCCTGACCCTACTCCCAAAGGTTCTTCTGATCTAAGAGATCCAGCAAGGTTAGAGCAACTGTATTTTTAAAGAACCTACGTATGAAGTTGAGAATCTTTCTTTAAATAAATAATGCTTCATTGTGGGTTATTACACACTTTCTGTGCATCAAAGCTTGTGCTAAGCATTTGTGCATGTACACTATCCATTCAACCCAACAGCTTTATGTGGTAAGAACTATTATTAGATCCCCTTTGTAGAGGAGAAAATGGAAGCACAGAGACATATATAGCGATGGAGATGGATTCTAAGGCAGGCAGGTAGACCAGGATACCACTCCTTACCACATGGACGTGTACATAAAACAACAGACAAAAACAACAATAAATGCTTGTGATTTTTCTTTCCTAACTGCAAACATTTCATCTGATTTCATATTCATTTGTATGGTACTGAAAAATAATTTGTAAAATACTTACAGTTGCTCGATTTGTTCAAATTCTTTCCCACCATCTGCATAACAAAAGAAAAACATGCCTACTAAGTTTGGTTCATTATTTTATCTAATATATTTGTTCAATCAAACCTCCCCGTGAGCAAGAAGTCACTGTGCTGTTTGTCCTCTTTAGAATGAAGGGGAGATACGCTGCCTTAGACAGGTAACACCTCTCTCTCCCCCTCTTCTTCTTCATCTGGACTCTAGACCTTTCTGGCATTAGTGATCAAGCCTAATGTAGTTACCTCATATGTTCAAAAATACGATGGAGTTTGTCATTATGTACGTTGTTAGAATTTAGTAAAAAATCAGGAAAGAATATAGGATGTAAAATCAATTTCCTCAAAGGACCATTGTTTTCTCACCCCATAACCGATCAAGCACAGGCTATAAATTACAAAACACAAAAATAGGACACTGACAGGCCAATCTCTCTTTGTGAGAGCTCCAGAATGTTTGAGAAAATATTTTTTAAATGAATTATCTAAGTAAAAGAATAATTATCTTCGAGACCTTTTGTGTCAAGCTATCACAGACTTTTCTCACATATCACCCAATTTGTGCTTAAGGACTCACAAGCACCTAAAAAAGGGGGGAAATGGTATCTTTTTAGCACTAAACTTCTCTTTAGGAATTGCAACAAGAAGACTATGGATAGAGGTTCCTTGCTCACTGTTACCAACCCACGTACTGCTCCAAATATGAAAACTGGATTTTTCTCAAAATCCCTAAAGTCCTTGAAATGCATTGAGTTGTAACACTTATCATAGTAGGTACTTATCATAATTAAGTAATAATATTATCTAAAAAAGAAATCCTACCCAAGGGCTGTTGTTTCTTTTGGGTGTACTTTTCACAAAGCAGAATAATGGTCACTAAAAGAACCACCTCAGCCACTATTGCAAGAAATGGTTTGAGGGGCACCAAATAGCTGAGCACCACGAGCTCAATGTGTTCTTCACTCTCGCCCAGTTGGAACAGCGCGTGGCACCAGTAAGATCCCCCGTCTTCCTCCAAAAGCTGTGTTATCCTGAGCCTCGTCTCATTCGCGTGCGTCCCGTTCACCACGTGCTTATTCTGCTGACTGCCAACGGGAACCTACGGTCAGGAGACATGAAGTCCATTTCTGTCAGATTGCAGAAAAGTCACATGTTCTCCAGCGAGAGTAGACCACATCACAAAATCCCAAAACCAGAGATGTTGGCATGGATGTGGAGAAAAGGGAACACTTCTACACTGCTGGTGGGAATGCAAACTAATACCTTCCTTTTGGAAAGGTGTTTGGAGAACACCTAGAGATCTAAAAATAGACCTGCCATTCGATCCTCTACTACAATTCCTCTACTAGGTATATATCCAGAAGACCAAAAACCACATTATAACAAAGATAAATGTACGAGAATGTTTACTGCAGACCAATTCATAACTGCTAAGTCATAGAAGAAGCCCAAGTGCCCATTGACCCACGAATGGATCAATAAATTGTGGTATATGTACACCATGGAATATTATGCACCCTAAAAGAAAGATGGAGACTTTACCTCTTACCTGTTTACATGGATGGAGCTGGAACATATTCTTCTTAGCAAAGTAACTCAAGAATGGGAAAAAAAGTATCAATGTACTCAGTCTTACTATGAAACCAATTTACAGCTTTCTTATGAAAGCTATAACCCAATTATAGCCCAAGAAGAAGAGGAAAGGAGAGAGGGAGGGGAGGGGGGAGGTTGGGTGGAGGGAGAGTAATTGGTGGGATCACACCTACGGTGCATCTTACAAGGGTACATGTGAAATTAACTAGGTGTAGAATATAAATGTCTTAACACAATAACTAAGAAAATGCCATGAAGGCTATGTTAACCAGTTTGACGAAAGCATTTCAGATTGTGTGTAAAACTAGCACATTGTACACCATGGTTGCATTAATGTACACAGCTATGATTTAATTTTTAAAAAAAGTCACATGTTCTATATGATACAGTTTTAAGCAAAAGCTGTAAGATAGTACCAAGAAAACTGCTTACTAGAAAAAGATATATTAAAAAATTTTAGGAAGTCATATATAACACAGCTTAAGTCTTATCAGAGTTTGATTTCCCAGGTAGTAAAGGAAAAAGTATACTTTGCTATAAGGATTTAGCACTGGATATTGAAAACTACAAAAATGTGACTAGGCCATCATGAGTTAATGCTATATAAGAATTAAAACCAGAAAAAGTCCAGTCATCTGGGTTTCACGTTCTAGCTCTGCCTAGTTCTTCAGCCAAGTATGGCCTCCTCCACAAGCACAGGCACACACTGGAACAACTCCCAGCCCTGAAGGTACTATTTCTGATCATCCCTACAAAGGAAGATCACTCACCCAAACATGGGAGTTCCCCAGGCTGGAAATGAAGTTGCAATTTTCAGACCTTTGGAGCTGATGTATAAGAAATGGTAGGAACCCCTGTGGGCCTGGGATCTAGGTGGGCTGCACCCCTTCTGTTCTTTCATATAGGAAATTATCTCTCTCTGGCAAGCTGGCATCTGTGACTTGCTGGAGTTTTCCCCCAGGCTCACAAGCACTGCACTAAGCTATGCGGAGACTGTTTTATTTAATCTATTTAAATTAAATTTTAATCCCAGGCCGTTTGATGCCGTCCCTGCTCTATCACTCAACTGTTCTGCGCAATAAATGCTAATCTGCATACAAATATTCTCAGGGGTTATCTGAGGAAGAAATGTCTGTGAGTTCATTATTTGTCAAAAAATTACACCGACCTGGCTCCGTGTGCACTGTCTGGGATGCTTATTACAAATGCGCCCTCTCTGAGTCAGAGCTGATAAATCAAAGTGCTGCATTTTTAATAAGTTCTCAGGTGATTTTAATGATGTACATGGTTGATCTACATTTTGGAAAAAGAATAAAGCCACTTGATCTAAGGTTTGATCTGTTCTCAGAGCTTAATATAATTAGATTTGGGCTGTTGTTTTTCACATATTGCTATATCATATTTGCATAAATAAGTTGTGTATTTCAAATACCACAGTGGTTATTTATTTTTAAAAATGTACATGTTTTTAAAAAATATTTATATAAACACATAATTGCTTTTCCTGATCAACAATAAGACCAGCAGAAGTATTAATAGTTTAATATACTTATAGGAATTAGTTAGAACTATTCTATTAAAACATTAAACCTATGTTACCACTGACAGGTCACTCCCTGAGTCCTGTATCTGTTGTCAATCGTCTATGATAGCACCAATTTTGTCTAAGAAGGAATTTCATGTTTCATGGTAAGATCTGCACTCTCTCGTGTTCCCTCTAAAACTGTAGCTTGCCTTTAACGGGATTTTGATTCCAATGCTCACTGGCACCAGGGCAAGAGGAAGGTGTTGCCTAAAGCACAATGTTAAACTTTCCTGTCATTAAAGGATATTTGGAAAGAAGAAAGGAAGCCAGAAGTGATTTACTGAATCACTTAGTTTTTCTTACTATCTGCACTGTAAATAGCCATTTCTCTTAGAAAAATAGGAATTAAAATCAAATGACTTTCCTTAGATATCCCAAGGTCAAAAAAAAAAAAAAAAAGGCCAATGGTATTTACTGATAGAACCCAGGATTTCAGTTACCAAGTTTTCATTTTTTTTTCTAAAATGGTACTATTAATATTTCAGGAGAGAGAAGTCAGAAAAGGTGGCTGGGTTTTTAAATAGTTATTTTCATGAAATAAAAAAAAAATTATTTTTGATGAGGTTATTCCTAAACTGGCCAGCTAAAAATGAGTTGTAACTTCCTTTCAAATAATCTTTTTAAATGTGAAATCTATAAAACAAAGTACCGGCTAAGGAAACATGAAGAGAATCTCCAGAAGTATAACGCAACCCGCTGAAACATCAGATGACAACCCCATCCATCATGGTTCTGTCTTTATGAATACATTCTAGTGAACGAGAGAAAAGAAGTTTAAAGCGTCCCAGGGATTCTGAGTCTCTTCCAGTCTGTTAAACTTTTAACACCATGTTGACAAATTTTATAGATTAATATTCATTTGTTAATATTAGATTTCAAATATTATATTCATATTTATGAAATGAATGGGTTTTTGTTTTCTGCAAATCAAACATATATGATCTTACCTGTACACTCCCATTACTGCTGTACCAGGTCCAATTTAAAGGAAAACAGTCTTCACATTTACATGTCAAGACAGTAGAATCCCCCACGTAAGAGATCAATGGCTTATTTTTCCCGTGAAGTTCGGGTACTAAGAATAATTTAGAGAGATATATGTTACTGAAACAGTTTAAGAAAAGGGAGTGTATTAAATTTGAAGCAGTTTTCTCCCTTAATTTTCTGTTAATGCATCATTTTATGTAGTTTCAGTTATATATAAAATGAAACTAGTTTACAGTAGTTGAGGTGTAGTCAGTAGTAATAACAATAGTAGTGGTTAAATAGCTCCAGTATCACTGTCTCCAATGTAGAAATGAAAGGCCTTCTGTTATTGAGCCTAATAACAAAAGTGTTATAATAAATCACTACATGTTTTAGATAAGAAAGATGCTTCAACTTTTCCAGACTCTTCTGTCTTCTCACCTACAAGTTACCTGCGAGTAATTACTCCCTTCAAAGTTTTAGACTTGGATAGCCTTTGAGTGAGAAGACAAAATTTCCATGATAAGAAATCTTTCATTGACACAGACTTATGAAAATCCAGCAAAGAGTTGGAGAAGTTAGAACATGAGAAAGTAATAAAGGAAATTTAATAGAAAGAGAACAGCATCAGAAAGAAAATGAGATTAAAAAACACTTTCATGTGGTTTTGTAAAAATAAAACCCTGATATTCGTTCTAATAAATTTCTTAGTCAAGAAAGTTTAAAGCAAACACCAATAGTAACAGAATACAAATAAGCACTGAATTTGGAAAAATTAAGTTTTAAGGATAGAAATAACTTGGTAAAGAAAATTAAAACGTGAGAACGTAAGCAATGTTAAGATGAAGGTGATTTAAAAAGGCTGCCTAGTGAAATCAGTTCCTTCTGATTGATCTTGAAGGATATATTATAGAATGCACACTTACTGGAGATATAGAAAAACAAAGATTACTTTTGTTGATTTTTTTTTTTTTACCGATTTTAAACAAGCTTTGTCTTTTTTTTGTTACTTTTGTTTATTCAGTTTGCTAGTTGGCAAAGAATGAATGAAATTATAATGTCTAAACTGTTAACACTATGTTGACAAATTTTATAGACTAATATTCACTTGTTAACATTAGATTTCATATTTGAGAAGGTTAGGGTTAGGAATAGAAAGATCAATTTTAATAGCTAAAGTTAGGCTTCTAGATTAAATACATTTTCCAAGTGCTTCTGAGTTTCTATCAATCAAGGTATTTGCTGGGTATGTGAACTAATGACGAGGAAGAGGAAAATAATTTGGAAATAACTGAAAATGAAAGTATGATTTTCATAACCACCAAAAAAAGGGCTAAAACAGAGTTAAAGAACAGGGTTCCCGTCCCGAGTCAATTAATAGTACAATGGTGATTGATGCAAATTTCCTCTTTTTCCTTATGGTCTACAATGGGTCTGAATTGTTGGATCCAATATAATTCATATATCTTTCTCCCCTTCATCGGGGAGAGTGCTGAATGAGGCTCTACTACTAATACAGAGATGCAAATAGAGGAAGGAATGTCACCTACAAGGCAAGAATGGTGCAGTTACGTAAGAGGGGACGAAGCGCTCGGTAAGTCAGTGGTCCACACTTTCCACAACCATGCTTTGAAGAAATTGAATGTTCTACAATTTTACACTAACCGAAGATGTGAACTACCAATCAGAATTTATAATCCCCCCACTACCAGATTACGAACACCTAGTAAGGAACCACTAGGATGCTTCTGAGGGAGGCGACAGGTGAGGCGGGTATGTGCGACTGAGGACAGTAGCTGATCAGTCATCCCTGCCCAAAGACGCTGGTGAGCCGACTTCACCACAAGACCTTGCAAGCGGGCTTGCTCTGCGGGAGCTACTCTCTCTCTCCACTGGCCACCATCAGGCGGAGGGATTCTAAAGAATGCCTGGTCAATACAGACCCATTTCAAAGGCATGAGTGTTTGAGGGAGCCAAGACTATGTGACAATTGTAAAACAAAAATTTGGGTCCAGAAAATATTTGACTTAGAATTACAGTTTTGGTGTTACTAGCTTTGAGGGCAGGGGCTTGTCCTACCCATCCTATAATACTGCTGCATATGATTAAATAAGACAGCCTAACACGGAAGAAGTGCTTGGCACCTGGTAAACACCACAAAATCCAAACTTTTGTTGTGATGATTCATTGGGATTGCTTTTTTTTTTTTTTTTTTTTTGAAGCAATGTCTTACTCTGTTGACCTTGGTAAAATGCCATGGCATCGCAGCTCACAGCAACTTCAAACCCTTGGGCTCAAGCAATTCTCTTGCCTCAGCCTCCCTAGTAGCTGGGACGACAGGCACTCACTGCAATGACTGGGTATTTTTTGTTTGTTTGTTTGTTTAGCAGGCTCAGGCTGGGTTGGAACCTACCAGCCCCAACCCTAACCGCTGAGCTACAGGTGCTGAGCTGGGATTGCTTTTCTTAATTAAGGTTTTTTACGATTCGTAATGCCCATAGCCTTTCTCCACAGTGATCATTAGCCAGCTTAGCAGGATGGATCATCTTCTTGGGGAAGAATGATTTCTAGAGCAGCTGGCCATACGATGAAGAAAAGAAATAAGACCTATAAAAAAAGGGGAACTGGACCTTCATCTGAAAACATCTCACAACACAGGACTGTGTGCAGACACCCAAGAACAAGGAAGGGCTCCAAAGCCAGCCCTTGGTGGACTGCCCAGTCCGTCTGAGAAAAGATTGTAAAAGAGTAAAATGATAAAAAAAAAAAAAAAAACAGGAAATGAATCCACAAGAGACAGGGAAAAATGAAGAAACAGTAGCTCTGAGAGAAAGCTCTGAGCCAAGAGAAAAATGAAGAAACAGTAGCTCTGAGATGCTGGTGATGGTACCAATCCAGTTTTTTGAATACCACATGGTAAAAAACTTCCAGTGAAGCCCTGAAACAAATTTTACTGTTTTAACCACACTTTTATTCAAATGCCTGGCTAGAGCAGTAGAAGGACATTATGTTTGTATAATAGTAATTATGTTTGTAAAAGTAACTTATGTAACTTTAGTACAAATCTGAACAATTTTAATCAGGGTGCCTAATTACTGCCTCTTCCCAATAAGAATAAAAGAAATTTATTAAAAAGTTTAAAAAAAAAAAATATGTTCCCAGACCTGTGTAGTATATGAAGGACAAAGAACACATGAAATAACTTGACATAGTATTATAAAACCCCAAAATAAAAGGGAAACTGCCTATTCACAACATATTGTTTGTTTTTTTTGTTTGTTTGTTTGTTTGTTTGGGGACAGAGCCTCAAGCTGTCCCCCTGGGTAGAGTGCCATGGCATTACAGCTCACAGCCACCTCCAACTCCTGGGCTCAAGCGAGTCTCCTGCCTCAACCTCCCAAGTAGCTGGGACCACAGGTGCCCGCCACAACGCCCGGCTATTTTTTTTGGTTGCGGCCGTCATTGTTGTTTGGCAGGCCCGGGCTGGATTCGAACCTGCCACCTTAGGTGTATGTGACTGGTGCCTTAGCTGGTTGAGCTACAGGCACCGAGCCAACACATTGTTTTTATAAGAAAAGGCAGAATAAAGCAAATAATACCTTGATGCAACGAGCATGAGCTGAATTTTTAAATAAGAGGGTAACTGCAATCTCTCATTTATAAAAACCTCTCTTTGTAATAAAAATAAATAAGAAAAGTAAAGAGATTGTCGGGCAGCACCTATAGCTCAAGGAGTAGGGCACTGGTCCCATATACTGGGGTTGGTGGGTTCAAGCCCAGCCCCGGCCAAAACAGCAAAACAACAGTAAAGAGATTGTCTCTCCTAGAGGTGTTCTGCTCTAAGCAGCTCCAGCTACTCTTGCTGGTTTCATTCCATTTCTCCGTCCCCTACTCCTTCAGAGCTCAGCTGTAGACCCAGACAGCACCGTAATTGAGGAAAATAACCAGTGTCAAAAAATTGGCAGTGACTCTTGGATCCAAGAGAACAGACCATCCATTTGTCCTAATATTAACTCAACAAGTGACTTAACCTCATTTTTTTTAATGATAAGACAGGATTTTATTAGATAGAACAAAATAGAAAGAAGAAAACAACCAGAGCCTCTGGTGAGGGAGGAGACCCAACTGGGAAAAACCCCTTAAGTTCTTGAGAAACCCGAAAATGTTTAAATGACAAAAATGTAAACCCTCAATTGGGTCAAACCACACTACCTTTTATTCTGCCTTGTTTTTCTCCGAGCAGAACCAGTTTCTTCACTAGGTAGGAGAGGCTGTGGCAATAATGGATACTGGTCTGTGGACTGAGGTTTCTGTTGACCTGTATACAAATTCTTTCCTCTCATTCAGCAGCCTTCCTAATTTCCAGTCCTAGAGAGGAGAATTTTTCTGGATTGGTCCTACATGGTATCGACTAGAACTTTTCTCCCTAAAACCAGGAATTTGGAGGCAGAAAGAACACAACCCCACACTCAGTATTATTTATTTTCTAGTGCAGGAGGTGTGCCTTCTCTCCAGAGTAGTTGGTGGCACACTGAGTGTGGGTTGTTTAGGAATAGGCTAGTCTGCTTCGTGTTGAGATAAGACCCAGTGAGAGAAAGGCAGCCAGCTGTCCATGGGTCAAGCCTGCCAGGGATTTCTACAGCAAGGTTTGTCCCAAGGCTGGGCTACAGGGAAGTGTTTGGGTTTCCCCTTTTTGTGCATATTCCCATATCTTAAACTTTGCTGTGAGAGGGTGTGTGACAGTTAACTTATTCTTGAATATTCTGACAAAGCACTATCAATCACAGTGTTTTTCCACATTGTTTTATCTCACGGCACACTTGAACCTATGTAGTTAAACTTCTATGGCACACTTCAATTATGTTGATCCCTGCCCCCCAAAAGAAAGAGTTAAAAAAAAAAGAAAGAAAGAAAGAAAGAAAAGAATATACTTACTGTGCCTTGAACTTCTCTGGAAAATAATTTAATTAATGGTCTCTAAAAATTTTCCCAGCACACCTAAGATCCTTTCACGGCACACTGGTTGAAAATCTATCAGCTCAATACATTTCTAAGCATACCTCTTTCCAAAAATATCAAATACCTGGTGTGGTTGTATTAATTGGTGAAATGTGAGAATGAAGACGCATTCGAGGGATAAAATCCCACTTGGAAAGATCAGCCCTGTTTTAGAGGAGTTAACTAAAGGCCTGCAGATAAAACAGGGCTGGGGGGCTGGCAAAATAGGGATTCTTTCTGAAGCTCCAGGCTTCCTTCCAGAGCTCAGCTGGAGTTGAGCCCAGCCTGCTGAGTTCCACGTGGAGACACAGAACTCATATCAGTGCGGCTCTGGGACAGTGCAACGATGTCGAGGGCCAGGCCAGGCTCGCCTGAACACAAACATGGCTTTGAAGTGCAGGCGCCGCGGTGGGCACCAGTGAAGGGCACAGATTCTGCCTTCCCAGGTTGTTTATCTCCCAGATATCCTATTTCTTAATGTTAGCACGCTTCTTTCTGGCATCTAGGTCATGCTTTAGCAGGAAAATGTGTGTTGAAATAGGATCAAATATTGAAATTTACCCCTCGGCGAAGAATAAAAAGTGGAAGAAAGATAATACGTGGGAGGAAACCACAACAGAAAATAGGCTGGTTTTCAGAAAGTCTCCGTGAGGCACGTGCTTGGAATGCCTACTGACAGCAGCAAGGGGCTTTTCCACAAAACCGTAGGGGTTCTATGAGATTTGGGGAGGAACACATGGTTATCCTATGAAACCACCCCAATTAATATCAAGATCAGGCTATAGACGGCAGATGACTGACAATGACCAAGGGCTGACATGGGGAAGCTGAGCCCAAAATTCTGCTTTCTTTCCATCTCTTCTGTTTTCTTTAGCCCTAAATTAATGGCTAAAGTAACATAAACCCTTCCTCTGCTCTGCTACATACGGCTGATAACCATATCGTCAAAGACTGTTTACTGAATTTCTCCAGAGGGATTCAGAAGTTACAGCTGATTCTATGATGCTACTTTTCATACTTCTGGATACTTTTGGGGAAGACGGATTGCTGAGCCATGACAGGTTGCTTAGCATTTTGTACCATCACATCTCACTGTGACCTCCAAGAGTTCTTGTTCTTTGCCAACTAAATGTCTACATGCTTTCTACTAAGAGAGGTTAATGTTGGTGCATATTATGTGAATACTCAGAGTAGTTTTCAGCAGTTACTCAGAATACTTGACCCAGTACTGAGAAACACTGTGGACCATCACTCATCTTTCTTGAGCACAATGTTACCACCAACACATGAGCAGCTGCGAGCTTCCAGGGTGCACCTGTGCCATCTCCCCTGTCCTGGTATCAGAAGCTAAACATGCAATGTCAGCAGGGCATTTCGTTTAGTTTTGTTTTGTTTTTGCCTTGTACTAATCGGTGATGTTGAGACTCTTTCACCATCTTCTAGAAATACATCACCCGGCTCCCCTAAGGACAGAAGCAGGGACTTTGCTGATGAATCATTCTGAAGGTTCAGACTCATGCACTATAGTTGACTCATGTAGTCAATGGCAGAAAACAAGTTTTGGCTCAATTTAAAATAGAGGACAAAAACTTTTCATCTACATTCAATTGTAATGCTAAGAAAAGGTCATTGCTCTCTTTAGAAAAAAAACCATCAACACACCATGTAGAGAAAGAATATCATACAACATTTACAGAAATAGTCACCATTCTATAAGCCTTAAAGAGCTAATTAAATAACTATAACATGAATTATTCTGTAGATGTCTTTAAATTCTACTGAACTAAAATTATTGCTCCCAGCAGTGTTCAATTCAGATGAATTATAGAGAACTGTTTTATCAAGAAAGATCCAGAAGGAACCGCCTTATTAATTTTATAAATATCTTTAGGTTATAGTATCTACTTAAAAATCATAATAGAGTGAAATGGGCAGTAAAAAACAAAATAGCCAAAGTGCTTTAAGCAAACTGGAAACAAAAAGTAAATATTCAATGACTCTTTGCATTCAGTAGAGACTTGGTTTAAAACTTAAGCCCTGTGTTCGTGTTCCTGGCCCCAGCTAGCATCATCTTAGTTTTCTCAATATTGCTGAGGAGTTAAGAGTCCTTCCCCAAGAACATTTGGCGTTAAATGCACTGGTATGTTGAAAAGTAAAATGTGTCCGTTAACCTTCACATTATAGGCAAGAATGATTACTTCCATATAATAATATAAGTAACTTACTACAAGACAGCTAACCAGAAAAAAATGTAAAATATTTAATATTTAAACTTTAAGTGGGCATGATTAGCACATATTACCAGACAACAGCGCTATTCTGAAGGAAAACTAAAGAAAAAAAAACAAATCAGTGTTGAAAACTGAACCTCCAGGGAGCGCTTTAAGTCACAAGGTTTGATGAGCATTTCCTTGGGACCTATAAGTTTTCTTTACATACATTTAAAAGACTTAATAAAACATGATTCTGGGGGTTTTGAATGCATGGGTGTTTGATACTCTTTTCTGCCCATTTGGAAGGAAGAGAGAACAAAAAGAAAGAAAAGAAAAGAGAAAAAAGAGAAAGGAAAAGAAGAATGAAGGGGGAGAAGAATGGAGGGAAGGAAAGAAGGGAAAATGGGGGAATGAGAAGGAAACGAGAGAATAAGAGAGTAGGCCAGGAAGGTTAGGCAAACAAGAAGAAAAAGGAGTGAAATGCAGAAGCAAAGGAAACAGAAAGGAAATGTGCACCGTGTGTCTACTCCTCCACGGGGTTCAATGGGGCTAACAGAGGAAGGGAAGTTAAGGACGAATATACGTGATCAAAACAATCGCAGAATGGCACTATGTATCTGCCTTTAGGGAGATCAAATGTATAAATACAATTAGATTTACCAACTTGGAATAATTCCAAAACCAGGCAAAGGAAGTGAGTCCGTGAGAGACTGCAGTGAAGGACGTAATAGTGAACCACCTGAGCCACGGCTGGGGGGGAGCAGGGCATGCTGCTGTTGGTGGGGCCTGGGGGCGGCATCTATTCTCAGACAGGAGAGCTTTTAGGAAGAGCAGAGAACACTCTTCACGTTCCCTCCTGAATTAACTCAAAACAAAGCCCAAAGTAACAAATGTGGTAACAGATTCCATTTCCCAAATACCAGTGCAGATACCGTAGTTCACTAATTCACCACAAAATACTTTTTCATGAAAACAATTATCTGATTCAAACAACTAACCTTTATTATGAGATTGAGACCTTTGACATTTTGGTTTAATGACGATAATAGTAAAATACTTTGGTTTGTTTGTTCCCATGGGAGAGAGCTGTGGATGACATTCTGAGGTTTGTAAATATTTTTAAATGTCCTTTCTTCTCAAGACAAAAAGTGGGCAATCCTCTGTGCATCTCCAGATTTATTTTTAAACTTTATGAATCCCTAAAATTCCACTTCCTGGAGCCACTGGTATAGAACATCAAAACAAAATAAATTCTCACACAATGGGAGCATAACAATTTAGAAATTTGGAAGACTATTTTCTTATATATATATATATATATATTTTTTTTTTTTTTGAGACAGAGTCTTAAGCTGCCACCCTGGATAGAGTGCCATAGCATCACAGTTCATAGAAACTTTTGGCTATTGGGTTTAAGCGATTCTCTTGCCTCAGCCTCCCAAGTAGCTGGGACTACAGGTGCCCGCCACAATGCTCAGCTATTTGTTGTTGTTGTTGCAGTTGTCATTGTTGTTTTAGCTGACCTGAGCCGAGTTTGAACCTGCCAGCCTCTGTGTATGTGGCCGCACCCTACCCACTGAGCTACAGGCACCATCCTGGAGGACTATTTTCAAAGCTCTGGAGAATATTCTCCTAAGCAAAGTATCACAAGAATGGAAAAATAAGTATCACATGCACTCAGTACTAATTTGAAATTACTAGTTTAACAAATACATAATCAGATGAAAAAAAACTAAATTAAATTCAAATGGGGGGTGGGGAAGGGGGTTGGGTATGTTCCCGCCCAGCGGGTACATTGCACAGGTGCAGGGCACACTTCCTGGGTGAAAGACACAGTGCAATGCAGACCTCAACCTTACAGAAGCAAGGCAGGTAACCTAATCATGGGTACCCTACCATTAACCTAACGTTTTAAAAAAAGTTTCAAATTTAGAGAACAAATAAATAAATTCAAGAGACTGATATGATGTATAAATAATGTGGTAGGGTGGCCTTTTGAACTAAACGTGCTTTGAATTGGGGAGTGGAAGGAATCAGGAGGAAGTAGATGGGAGATGCAAGACCATTATGAAGGCCACCTCTTGTGATTCAGTGGGAAACATTTTCCTTCAGTTGTTTTATGCTTATTGTTGTAATGCTAATTTAAAAATAGGGCTAGACTCAGAAATCTAAGAACAAAATGCCAAAGATATTAATTATTCCTCAAGTTATTAATACTGACCTTTGAAATTAAATGTTCCCCTTAGTACTTTTTCCTCTTGAAAGAGACAAGAATAACTTCCCATTTGTTTGCTATTACTGATGGTTAACCTAAAGATAAGACAAGATGTTAATAAGAGCTTAGTTCTCAAAAACCTTCTCAATGAAAACACGTAACCATTAATCAAAATGTAAAAATAGAGATCCGGTAAATATGCAAATCTAAATATTAGCATAACATCCAGAAGACTGGAAAAGAAAGAATGTTTTGTCAACTAAAATATTTGGAATGGAGCTCATTTTTCCTAGCAACAGAGGTTTAAGTGTTTTATACTCACAGGTATTGGGTATATAGGATATTTCCTGTTGCACTGGTGGGATAATTATTCTCAAGCACATCATCACCTTTTTTCCAGGTCACATTTACTGAATTCAGATCTCCAGAGGTTGTCAGCTCACATATGAGCTTCACAGCAGAAGGCCTGTCTAACGTGATGTTTTTCTCTATCGGCATAGTGGAATATTCTACAGCACAAAGAAGACAAAACGTGACAGTTACATTTGGGTGAAATTCAATATGTAATACATTTTAAGTTATTAACA